TTTCTTAGAGGTGTCCTTTGATGAGCAGAAACTCTTAATTTTGAGGAAGTCCAATTTATCTGTTTTTATATTGTCTACCAAGCTATTCTTTCATGTTTTCTTCTAGGATCTTTGTGAGTCTAGATTTTATGTTTAGGCCCATCATCTATCTCAGATTAATTTTTTGATATAGTGAGATGAGGTTGAGGTTCATTTTATCCCATATCAATATCCACTTATTCCAGCAATATTTCAACTTTCTTTTCCTCATTGAATTGACCTGGCACCTTTGTCAAAAATCAATTGACCATACATATATATCTGTTTCTGGACTCTTTATTCAGTGTTATTCATCAGATTTTTCTTATTCTGGTGCCTCACTACCTTGATTACTGTGGCGTTGTAGTAAATCTTGAAGTCAGCTGATGTTAGTCCTCCAACTTTCTGCTTTTTCAGTATTATTTTTGCTATTCTAGATCCTTTGTATATTTCCATAGAAAGTTTAGAATCAGCTTGTCAGCTTCTTCAGAAAACCTGCTGGGATTTTTATAGGGATCATATCGAACCTATATATAAATTTAGGGAGAATGGATATCTTAATATCTATCCACAAGCATGGTATATCTTTTCATTGATTTCTATCTTTATACTTAAATTCCTTTTTCTCAGTAATATTTTGTCACTTGCAGCGTAGTAGAGGTGTTGCTCATCTTTTGTTAAATTTATTCCTAGATTTTTTGAAGCTCTTGTAAGTGGTGTTGTTTTATTAATTTTCCTTTTCAATTTCTCATTGCTAGTATATAGAAAATACAATTAATTTTTGTATCTGCAAAATAACTTTCTGTCCCGCAACCTTAATTAATTCACATATTAGTTCTAGCAGCTTTTTTGTAAATTCTGTGTAATTTTCTGCATGAACAATGATGCCATATATAAATAACGTAATCTTTATGCCTTTTATTTCTTTTTCTTGCTTTATTGCACTGCCTAGGATGTGGGCCTCCAGTACCATGTTGAATAGAAGTGGTTAGAATGGACATCCTTGCCTTGTTCCTAATTATGGGGCAAAATTAAGGATTTATTGCTTCACATTAAGTGTGATGTTAGCTATAGGTATTCTGTAGCTCTTCATCAGGTTAGGAAATTCCCTTCTTTGTCAGGGGTTCCCAAGACTGCCCTCAGGTTTAATGATTTGCTAGAAGGACTCACAGAACCCAGAAAATCTGTTATACTCATGGTATAGTATTACAGTGAAAAGAAACAGATTAAGATCAGCAAAGGTAAAAGGCATGTAAGGCAAAGTCCAGGAGCCACCAGATGCAAGCTTCTTGTTGTCCTCCCAATGGAATAGCGCGGACAGTGCTTAATTCTCCCAGCAATGAGAATGTGTGATGTGGGACAACATGTACACAGTATCTGTCAGCCAGGGAAGGCCACAGGATTTCATTGGGGATCAGTCATGTATGCATGGAGCACCCAAGCCGCTGACTTTAGTTAATCAGTCTCTAGTCCCTCCAGAGGTCGAACTCATACAGCTTGGTCCAAGACCCCAACATTAATCACATTGTTAGTGTAAACTGTCCTGTGTGGTCCAAGGCCCCAGGGGTACAAAAACAGTCTTTATCAGGCAGCATGTTCTAAGAGCTTGGTGGTTATCTCCCAGGAACTGGTCCAGGGCCAGTTTCTTTGCAATGTGTAGAGTTGGAACACCCAAACATGCTGCGTCAACCCTTTCCTGCACACTCTCTAGTACTAGTTGGGTGAAACATTTCATTTTGAAGGTATCTTGAATTTTTCAAATGCTTGTTCTGTGTCTAATGAGATGATCGTGTGCTTTTCTTCTTTTCTGTTAATGTGTATTACACTGATTGATTTTAAGATGTTAAACCAACTCTGCCTTCCTGGGATAAACCCCACTTGGCCATGATGCATTGCTGTTTTTATACATTGTTAAATTCAGTTTGCTTATATTTTGTTAAGGATGTTTGCATTTATGTTCATGAAGGTATTTGTCTAATTTTCCTTTCTTGTCGTATCTTTGTTAGATTTCCATATCAGGGTAATGCTGGCCTCATAAAATGATTTGTAATTGTTCTCTCTCCTCTCTTGTTGCCCAGGTATACTACATCCCTACCTTCTTTCTCATCTTAGGGAAAAACATTTAGCCTTTCACCGTAAGGTATGATGTTAGCTGTAGATTTTTTGTAAATGTCTTTTATCAGATTAAGGAAGTTCCCTCCTATACGCACTTCTCTTCACCTTGCTTGATTTGCTCCACAGCAGTATAGAGAGGTATTCTTCATTCCTTACAGCTCCATAGTACTCCAGAGTTTATTAAGCCAGTTCCAGGTTGATGGACATATGGTTAGTTTCCAGGATTTTGCTGTATTAAAATTGAATTACAAAATTGCTACAGTGAATAGCCTTGCACCTACTTTTTCATATTATTGCTGTATCTTTGGGATAGAGTCATAGAAGTCGTATTTCTGGGTTAGAAAGTAAATGTAATTTTGCTAGATATTACCAAATTTCCGTCCATAGACGTTAACACCATTTGGCATTTTTTTATGCATTTCGAAATAAATTGCAAACATCAGTACACTTATCCTTAAATACTTCAGCATGTATATCATTAACTAGAGTTCGATATTTATTTACAGTTTTTCTGACTATTCTTGCATGTTTCCAAATGAATTTTATAATTGACTTGTCTGACTTCAAGATGGCGAGGCGGGGGGAACCTGGTGATATTTTTATTGGGATCACATTGTATTTTTAAATTAGGGAGAACTAACAGCTTTATGATATTTCTTTTTTCAATCCAAGAACATGATATATCTTTTCATTTGATACAGTATATTTTTTTTTATCTTTCAAGAACATCTTTGAGTTTGGGGCTTTTCTTGCTAAGTTTACGCTGCAATTTTTGTTGTTATTGTTAGTTTTTTAATCTTTTTTGTTTTGGCTATTGTGAATGGAGTCTTCTCTTTCATTGTATCTTCCAACTCTAAACCAGGTACTTTTTGATGAACATCTAAGTCATTTTTTTGTTATTATAAGCGGTGCTGAATATCCTTGAAACTGTATCTTTGTGCATATCTGTGATACTTAGAATAGCAGATGTATTTTTCAAAGATGGCTGCACCCAAACATATCGCATGCCCCATGGTCTTATTAAAATCTGATTTTGTTACTGCTTCATTGAGTGTGAGATATGAGGTCTGTATTCCCTCTCCTTGAACCTGAGCGGACCATTGCAACTGCCTGGGCAGTGGAATATGACAGAAATGACAGTTTGTTATAAACTGAGGCTGAGGCTGTTATAAAAGGCCTTGAAGCTTTTACCATAGTCTCTGAGACTGCTTTCTTTGGGGGAAGCCAGCTGCCATGCCAGGTAACACATTGACATGGCCCCACGAGGAAGAGATGAGGCTCCTCCCAGCACCAACACAGAGCTGTGTGAATGAGCTTCCCTGGAAGTGAACCCTCCAGCCCCAGTCAAGCCTTTAGATGGTGGGGCCCCATTGCCCTATAACGGTACCCTCATGAGTCAGAACCGCCCAGCCAAGCTGCTCCCAAATTCCTGACCCCAGAAACGTCGATAGATGGTAAATGATTAATATTGTTTCAAGGCACTAAACTTCGGAGTGGTCTGTTACTCAGCCATAGTAACTGGAACACTTAACATGATTGATATTATAATTACTTTTGAAATTTCTATTGTTGATGTTGTAGAGGAGCATTTCCAAAACAGCCTTTCTTAGAACACACTAGTCTGTTGTGTCGTGGGTTCCCGAAGGTCACATCCCAGCCCAGCCATTTACTAACTGTGTGACCTGGGCAAGTTTCCTAACTTCCCTGTACCTCAGTTTCCTCCTCTGTAAAACGGCCATTAATACTAGTAACCACTTTATAGGGATGTATGACATTAAATAAATTTATTCATATACAGTGCTTAGGAAAGTGCCCAATACCTGATAAGCCCTCAATAAATGTTAGCTGGCATTAATTATATCATCCTTATATGCATTTACATTGTTCTTTTTATTTTTAGTCCTTCTGCCTAGTAACGTGGAAGTTATCTTAGATCTTTTTAGCAATCTGCCTAGAATTTTCATAGTGCTGTATGAATTCCAATACAAGGCCCGTTGTTTCATAACCGGGTTGTTTTTCCTCGTATTAGCCATTTATTGACAATTATAAAGTATCCGTTCATTCAACCTATATTTATTAAACACTAAATGGCACACGCTCATCTAGACTTATAAAGTCAGGTACCCTGCTCTCAGAGCATGCACTGCAGTGGAGTGAGACAGACAGTAAAGAAATGAACGAGCAGGATGGTTCCAGACTGCAGTGACTGCTGGGGAGAAGACAGACAGGCACTGGGGCACAGAGTAACAGGAGGAGGCCTTTTTTAGGTAGGAGAGTCAGAGGAGGCCCCTGTGAGCGGGTGAGGTTGCACCTGGCCCTGAGGGTGGAAGAGAATACACTGTGGGAGGAGCCCAGGGCCAGTGCCAAGTGCTGAGGCTTAGGGACCTGAGTCAAGGCCTTGCCCCTCAGTGGATATTTAAAGACTTGTGCTTTTATGGTTCAGTTATTTCAGATATTACTTATATATCATATTTGTTATATAACACATGCGTGTGTGTAGTCAGCAGCACTTTTGCATTGGTGTAAAACAACCAGCTTCTTGGGTTTGTTGAACTTAGAGCAGTCGGCCTTCGCTGCCCACGTGTAGAGTGTGGGTTCAGGAGATCGGGCTGTTCCGGTGTCCTTTTCTTCGGCGCATCCTGATGGCACTCGTCCCGCTGCATGCTATGGCTGTGGGTGTGCAGTCTGCCATGTAGTAAGTGCCCCACTAGAGCTGTGTGGGGATGGCCGCTGGGCCCAGGGCAGCGGCTCTGCTCTCCCCCAGAGGGCACAGAGCAAGCGTGAGGGACACGTGTGACTCCTCTCTGCTTTCAGGCAGAATCCTGTTGTGTAAGTAAATGATGTGACTGCTAATTTTTTATCTTTAGATCTAAGCTGGAACCAGAACCAAATACAAAGACAAGACAATCCATGTCTTCTGAGAAAGTTTCACAGAATCCTTCAAAAGACTCTGAAGAAAGACCTGTCACTGAAGAATTTCCAGGTATGAATTAAAATCAGAATCTTGCCTTGCGCCTCTTCCTTGTGACACGTTGGCCAAAATACAAAGCAGAAAAAGAAGGAACACAGCCCCAGACATCTTGTGGTGTTAGTATTTGCATAAAGCAAAGGAAACACGGAAGTGTCAGTCTTTTTTGGCCACAGTTGGATCTTAATGCCGCCGCACGGGCGGGGTGGGAGGATCCCCCAGTCACCTGGCTGCTCTCTGTGGGAAGAGAGTCACAGGCAAAGGAAGCAGAAGTGCCTGGTGTGCTCATGAGCAGCCGGGAGGCTACAGAGTAAGGGAAGAGCAGAGGGACAGGAAGCAAGCAAGTACCAGGTCACCAAGGTCATGGGGCCTTCCGGGCCACAGGAGAGCTGTTTACTCTGAGTGAGGTGGGAGACCACCAGGATGCTTGCACAGAGGACTGTCACACAGAGGACTACATTTGAGCAGGGTCCCTCTGGCTGCTCTGTTGAAACAGATTGTTTAGGGGATCAAGAAGCAAAATAAGGATAGTTAGGAGGCTGCTAAATTCTCCTAGGAACAAGGTGGTGGTGCACCACACCAAGCATGGTAGCAGGGATGTGGAGAAGGGGTAGAATTCTGGATATATTTTGAAAGTTGAGCCACAGCATGTGCTCCCTGGACGTGGGGCATGAGGAGGAGATGCGGCAAGGAAGACTGCAGTGGTTGTTGGCAGTGGAAAGAAGGTGGCTGCCCTTCACTGAGATGTGGGAGGCTGAGGAAGGGCAGGCTGGGGGCTGCAGATCAGCTCAGTGTGGAGTATGTTAATTTAGGGATGCCTGGCACAGAGGTTGAGCAGGAAGTTGGCTTTATGAGTCTAGAGGTCAGGGGACAGGTCTTTAGATCACGTCAATCCCATGAGACAGGCTGGGATCCCTGAGGAATGAGGGTCAGTAGAAAGAGGATGGCACACTAAGCCTCCCGATCTGGTCTTCCCTGTTTTGTCATATTCTCCCCGGCACTTGTCACTACCCTTCTGTATGTTTGACTCATTTATATCCTTTACACTCTGGATCCCCTACTAAAACATAAGTTCCACGGGGACAGGAATTTCTGTATGTGCTTTGTTCAGTGCTTTAACACTGGCACCCAGAACAACACCTGGCACATAGGAGGTGCTCATTAAATCTTTGTTGAAAAAAATGAATGAATGAAGACTCTGTTTGGAGCACTGCTTGCTTTTAGTTGCTGTGGAAATATTTCCTGAAGCAAAAGGAACTTAATGCCTCTCGGTGGTAGAAAACAAATGGTCAGTGAAAGAATGCTGTTCCTCATGGTTTATATTTTTATCTTAAAGTCAGTATTTGGATGCTTTATAATCACGAAGTTATCTCCTGACTAAGCTAGCCCACCAAAATGTTGAGAGAACCCTCCAGTTTAGCTTCTGATCAACGTGTAGGAGCAGAATGGTGTGAAGGGTGTCTCTCTGGAGGCTGTCAAGGTCCCAGCTGCAGCATTTAGTGGCACTTGCGAGAACCATTTCCCCCATTTTGTAAATACATCTCAGGACTCCTCCCGCCCCATCTTGGTCCTCTCTTGCTTTTTCCCCTGCATCCTGCCCCTGCTGCCACTCCTGGCTCCACTTCACTGTCTCCACAGCTCCACCAAAGGCAGCTCTTTCCTCCATGGTCATTTGGTGATGCTTATTTCTGAGCCATCTCTTCCTTGGTTACGTGGAGTCCCAAAGGGTAATAAAATCTTAACTAGTGCGTTTTTAAAATGTGCACACTTTATGTACAAATTCCTGCATATGTAACAGGCTTTTTCTACTTCATTTTGTTTGTTTTTCCCAAAAGAAAGCTATTGCCATTGCTGTACACCACGTTTATCTATTTTCTGTTCATGGAGATGGGCCATCCCTTCCTCTGAGTGTGAGGGAAGGGAAAGCACAGTGGTTGCAGTGCGATGTCATGGAAGGGTCGTGAACCTTGGTTTCACAGTCTGGCCTCTGTCCTGCATTGTGACCTTGGACAAGTTGTTTGAATTCTGAGCCTCAACTTTCTTATAGTATCATGTGGCTGTGGTTTGTTGTGAGCATTTCAGGAGCTAGTGTAAAGGGCCAGGCAGTGTCTGGCATGTGCAGTAGGGCTCCACAAAGAGCACGTTTTACGTTAGTTCGTAGAGCAGTTATGACGAGATCCATTGCTTGACACTAAGGATTGGGCAGGATTCTTTTTCAAATGAGTACTGGAAGTCAATTAGTAGGCTGGCCAAGATAGCAAAGGCAATTAGGAAGGCAAAGGAAATGAAAGTCTAGATTAGGAAGGAAGTTTTTTCTATTTACAAGCTGCCTGGTATTGTGTACAGAAAATTTTAAGGAACCCACCAATAAAAGAAAAGTAGTAAATGAGTTCAGCAAGGTTGCAGGATACAAAACCATTATACAGAGATTTCATTTCTGTATACTTTGAATGAACAATCCAAAAATGGAATTTAAAAAGCAGCACTTCCTTTATGATAGCATCAAAAAGAATAAATTCAACAAAAATGTAAAACATACTTTGAAGGCTGCAAATCATTGTTGAAAGAAATTAAAAATGATCCAGATAAATTGAAAAATATCCCAAGATCATGAATCAGAAGAATTAATGTTGTTAAGATGGCAGTACACCCCAAAATGATCTACAGTTTCAGTGCATTCCTCTTTAGAATCCCAGCTGATTTCTTTGTGAAAATTGACAAGTTGATTCTAAAATCCATGAGGAAGTGCAGGGAACTCAGGATAACCAAAACAGTCTTGGAAAAGAACAAAGTAGGAGGACTCACACTTCCCAATTTCGAAACTTACTACAAAGCAACAGTAATCAAGACAGTGTGGTACTGGCACAAGGACGGACATATGGATCAATGGGACAGAATTGAGAATCCGGAATTAAAACTGTGTGGCTCTGGTCAACTGAGTTCCAACAGGGGGACCAAGATCATTCAAGGGGGCAAGAACGGTCTCTTCAACAAATGGTGCTGGGAAAATTGGATATCCGCATGCAAAAGAACAAAGTTTGACACTTAACTCACACCATTTATAAAAAAGTAACTCAAATAGACCAAAAGCCTACACAGAGCTAAAACCCTAAAACTCTTATAAGAAAGCATAGGGCTAAATCTTCCTGACCTCAGATTTGACAAAAGGTTAACAAGGATATGACACCAAAACACAAGCAACGAAAGGAAAAATTAGATAAACTGGCCTTCACCAAAATTAAAATTGTGCTTTAAAGGTTAAAAAAAAAAAGAAAGTGAAAAAAGCCCACAGAATGGGAGAAACTATTTGAAAATCATATATCTGATAAGGGGTCTATATCTAGAACATGGAAAGAACTTTTACAAGTCAATAAGAAAATGATAACCCAGTTTTAAAATGGGCAAAGGGTCTGAATAGAAATCTCTCCGAGGAAGAAATACAAATGGCCAAAAAGCACACGAAAATATGCACAACATCATTAGTAATCAGGGAAATGCAAATCAAAAGCACAATGAGATTCCACTTCACACCTTCCAGGATGGCTAGAATGACAAAGGCGGATGATAAGTGCGTTTGCAGGATGTGGAGAAATCAGAACCCTCCTGCAGGTAAAAGTTCTCCAGGCAGAGGGACCAGCCAGTGAAAAGATCAAGGAGGGAGAAGTGAGCTGGCATATTTCCACGTGCGTACACACACATGTACACGCACACACTCACACTCACAAGAGGGAGGCACCAGTGAGAATGGTACAAGAAGGGGTGAGAGACGGAGGCAGAGGCCTGATCACACAGGGCCCTACAGGCCGTGGGAAAGGTTCAGCTCTGAGTCTGTGTGTAGTGAGGAGCCCCGGAGGTTGTTAAGCTGAGCGTGACAAGGCCCGGGTCACATTTAAAACCTCCCTGACTACCGTGTGGAGCTGGAGTGGAGTGAGAAAAAGAGGAACCAAGTGGCCTTGTTGGGAATCTATTGCAGGAGGCCACACGCCGGCGGGATGAGGTGTCACCTGAGGGACGTGGTGGTGGAGACGGCCGCGGAGACAAGGGCTCAAACTCTGCTCACACTTGGGAACTGAAGGTTAGCCAGTAGGTAGGACGCGAGAGGTGAGGGAAAGAGACCACTCAAGGGCAACTTC